GCTGATACCAAATAAATGAGACGTTATTTCACATAGACCTCTCCTCAGAGATTAATTAAAGCCTCTAGACGTAATTACAGTGGCACTCCTTAAGAAAAATACAACCCACCACTATGGAGCTATGTGACCTTGGGAATTTATTTCCTATAAAACGATAATTGCCTCTTCTTATACACAAAACTTAAAATTTCCCACCTTAACTCTTTTTAAGCGTGCGGTCAGGGGGATTAGTACGTGCCCGCAGCTGTGGAACCGCCACCGCTGTCTGTCTGTAGAACTTACCTTCCCAACCGAAATCCCCGCCCACTGAGCACCAGCCCTCGGCAACCATTCCAGGTCTGTCTTTATGAACTTCCCCAGTTCCCTTACGTTGGTAGAGTCATGTAGTACTTGTTTTACTGTGACTGACTGACTTCGCTTAGCGCGACGTCCCCAGGATTCATCCACGAGGTTAAGGCTGCGTAATATGACGCTGCAGGAAGAGAGCCCATCGTGTCTGTCCGTTCATCTGCCAGTGGACACGCGGGTCGCACACGACTGCCGCTGCTGTGAACGTGGCGCACACCTCTCTCAGTCCCTGCGTCCAGTTATTTGGGGAATGTACTCTGAAGCGGAAGTGCCGGATCGTGTGGTGGCGCGATTTTTCATTTTCCGAGGACCCGCCTGCCCGTTTTGCACAGCAGCGGCCATTTCGCAGCAGGCGCATCGTTCCCACCAGGGTCCCTGTTTCTCCCCATCCTCGTTAGTAGTTATTTTGGTTTTTGTCTTGCGGGTCGTTTGTTTGTTTGTTTGTTTGTTGATGACAGCCGTCCTAGCGACGAGGTCTCCGGTAAGGTCTCTGGCTCATCCTAGTGTGTGCGAGGTGGTATCTCTTTGTGGTTTTGATTTGCATTTTCCTAATATTTAGTGATATCAAGCATCTTTACATGTGCTTATTAGCCATTTCTATATTCTTTGAAAATATCTATTTAAATCCTTTGCCCACTTTCTTTTTTCGTTTTAAGGCTTTTTAGAGTAGTTCGCAGCAGGATTTGAGGGGAGGGGGCATAGGTTTCCCATGCACTCAGGGCCTGCCCGTTATCAGCGTCCCACACAGAGCGGTACCTCAGTTACCACTGATGCCTTACGCTGACGCATGGTTATCACCCACACAGTCCATAGTTTACATTGGGGTTCACTCTTGGCGTTACACCGTTCGAGGGTTTGGACAAATGTGTAATGACATGTGTCCCTCGTTACAGTATGCAGAGTATGGTGCTGCCTGAATACTCTGTGCTCCGCCTGGTCATCCCTTCCCACCCCTCGACCCCCCGATCTTTTTACCATTTCTATAGTTTTGCCTTTTTCAGAATGTCATATTGCTGGAGTGACACAATACGTAGTCTTTCCAAATGGGGTCTTTCATTTAGATATGCATTTAAGGTTCCTTCGTGTCTTTTTAGCTCATTTCTTTTTAGTGCTAAATAATATCCCATTGTCTGAAGGTACCACAGTCTGCGTATGCATTCACTTACTCAGGGGCTCTTGGCTGCTTCCGAGTTTGGGCAGCTATAAATAAAGCTGCAGCAAACATCCGTGGACGGGCGTTCGTGTGCACTTAAGCTTTCACCTCCTTTGGGTAAATTCCAAGGAGCACGATAGCTGGGTTGTGCGGTATGAGTGTGTTTGGTTTCATAAGAAATGGCTGTGGCGTTTGCATTCCCCCCAGGAGTGAGCGAGAGAGAGTTCCTGTTGCTCCACGTCCCTGGCAGCATTTGATGTTATCAGTGCGGCAGGTTTGGCCCCTCTGATAAGTGTGCAGAGGTATCTCATTGTTTTAACTTGCAGTTCCCTGACGTTCATATACTTATTTCTCATCTGTATATCTTCTTTAGTGAGGTCTCTTAAGGTCTTTGGCTCATTTTTAAATTGGGTGGTTTGTTTTCATATTTTCGAGCTTTAAGAGTTCTTTGTATATTGTAGGTAACAGTGCTTTATTAGATGTGTCTTTTGCAGAGCAGAAGTTCTTAACTTTATTAAATCCAGCTTATTATTTCTTTCATGGAGCATGCCTTTGGTGTTGCCTTTGCCCATTTTTTAATCAGGTTGTATTTTTTGTTGTGTCATGACTAGTTTTTAATATATATAGTTATGATATGACTGGATTTTCACATATAAATCATAGGCGAAAGATCTGAGAATTGCAATATAAATGAAAGTAGTGATTACAGTTATTAACTCTTTTAAAAAATGAGCCCAAGCGCCACTGAACGGGGGGGAAAAAAAGAGGTAGAACTTTGGGAGTTATACAGAGTTAATTTGTAAAATTGGACTTCGTCGTGCTTGGGACTTGAGAGTTTTGGAATGCATGTGTGGCCAGCATAAGGTCCCAGCAAACCATCGGCCCGTGGTAGGGCCTTGAAAGTAGTCCTGTTTGTTCAGTCACGCCCTTGTCGAAATAGAGCATCATCCTGGGCTGTTTACCTGAGAAGAGGTCAACTGAGAAATTAATGTTTGGTAAATAAAACATACAAATGTGTAAATATATAAAATCAATATTAACTGTGACTCATTAGGAAAATTTTCATAACTGTAGTCAAAATAAGGAATATGACAAGAAATGCAGAAGATCTGTTATAAGAACTGATACTTTACTGAAGGATATAAAAGATTTAAATGTCGCAGTGGACAAACCATGTGCCTGAATAGAGAGAGCTGATAGTGGTTAAATATCATAATTTCTAAAGTTTATTTGGAATGTGACAGATGAACCAAGACAATTTTAAAAACATTCTAAATTCTTGATCTGCTATATAGAATAATACATAATATAGACGTGTAGTCCTAATTTAGGAGTAAATAGACTAATGGAAAAAGACTCAGACACAGAACTGTCTATATGGAATTTGGCATTATCACTTCAAATTAGTTGGGAAGTGTGGATTTTTAAATGAGTGAGATGATCGTTGGTTACCCATTTGAAAAAGAAACTCTCTTTTATCAAATTCGAGATGGACGAACAATTTAAATTTGAAAAAGTCATACAAACACTATTAGAAAATATTTAATTGTAGTCTTATGACAGAAAGGTAAGAAACCAGAAGGAGAACAGAAGTGATTAATAGAAGGAAGACCTTTTATATGACAAAATATAAGCCTTGTTAAAAGACAAACTCAGGAAAGCTATTCAGCAGTGAATGTTAACAGTTATTGTCAAAATAATTTAAATGCTAAAAATGGAAAACTTTGAAGTTTTACTTCTGATTTTCTTCTGCTTTATGAAAATGTATGTATAGGTGGGGAAATTAATAAATTTTCATATGTAATTGTAATGTTCAATATTTCTTTTTTAAAACTTAAGTACAGAAAAATTCGTCTTAGTTTCAAACCTATCTTTCTTTAATGGAAGAAATATCTTCGTACGAACAAAGTCATGCACCTCTTCAAGAAATATAGCTGTAAGGAATGTTTTCTTTAGGCAGATTGTCACCAATGAGTTGTTGACTAAGTTCGGGTACAGAAGCAGTGTTGGTGCCAGGTGCTTCTGCAGGTGCGCGTGTGAACGGACACTGATTATTCTAACTTCACATGTTTTCTTTCATCCAGTCAGGTCAATTCAGTGAGGATATGATCCCCACGGTGGGCTTCAACATGAGGAAAGTGACTAAAGGTAACGTCACAATAAAGGTACGTCATCTTGTCATACTCGATTTCAGTTAGGATTTACAGCTAGGCATTTTTCTGTTTGTTTGTTCGTTTGTGTGGGGTTTTTTTTACATGAGTATTTGCAGTTCTTAACTAATGGACGGGCCAGTTGCAAAAGAGTATAAATTGCATTTTTTTCTTTCTCTGATTATAAGAGTTGACGGGTAAGTGCCCATAGAAAACGTGGCATCTGGGTTAGCAGAGGTAAGAGTTAGGATTTAGATGTTCCCAGGAGTAAAACCCCTGTTTTCAGAGTGTTTGGGATGTGGTGTCACATTATTTCATGAACAGTATTTTATATTGAAAAACAAATTATTGTTTATAGTATTGGTAATAGAGTGTTATATTTGAGGTAGCAGATATGGTAACTCAAGTTTTCTCTTTCTTTACTACTAAGTCGTAAAATTAAAACTATAAAATGGGGGAAAGTTAACTAGTTTAACATAGTTTTATTTTTAGAAAGACTTTGAATCATGGATTGTTGGACTGTTTTTTAGGGGGCGGGGGTGGTGGTGGGTTTTGCTTCAGTAGTTCATGGGAGTTTACTGCTATAGCCGGGGGCCTACGGCCATTTCACCCAGTCCTGTGGCTCACAGAAGCTGTTTACTGAAATCTTTCTGTAGCTCGTCTAGTGAAGCTCATAACTTCATGTCTGTGTCTCTTTTTGCATATTACCCATGCCTACAGCTAAATCTGAAGCCTCTTGAAGATAAATACCATGACTTAGACTTAAATACAGCCTGTCGTCCAGAATAGTACCCTACATAGTAGACATAATGATGAAATTATTGTGGGTAGTGGCTTTCACATGGATAAAATAATTTTATATGAGAAAAATACCTAGGTAGGAATGTTGACTCTGTTATTTACAGAACTATTAGAAATGATTAAGCAGTTAATGTATACCCAGTCAGACAATTAAACTTTAATAGATTCTGAATGAACTGTTGTTTTCTGTATTGGCATTCAAATCTGGATGATGCATGATTTTGGAGATTCCAGAAGTATTAGAGACATATACAGTAGTCTCCCTTTATCCGCGATTTCACTTACCTGTGGTCAGCCATGGTGTGAAAATATTAAATGGAAAATACCGGAAATAAACAGTTCGTAAGCTTCAGATTGCGCCTCTAAGTAGTGTGATGAAATCTCATGCCGTCCCCACTGTCCCACCTGGGACGTGAGTCATCCCTTTGTTTGGCACCTCCCCGCTGTAGACACCCCTGCCTTTTAGTCACTTAGCCATCTCGGTTATCACATCAGCTGTCACAATATCATAGTGCTTGTGCTCGTCACCCTTATTTAATTGTGTTATAATTGTTCTATCTTATTATCAGTTATTGTTGTTAATCTCTTACTGTGCCTAATTTATGAATTACACTTCATCATAGGATACACATATAGGAAAAATCATAGTATGTGCGGGGTTCGGGACTGTCCTGGGTGTCTGGCGTCACTGGGGGTCTTGGAGCGTATTCCCTGCCGGTGTGGGGGAATTACTGTGTTTTCAGTATTTGAAATTTATTGGTCAGCAGGCAAAGCACTGCACAAAAACTAAATCTCTGCTCCAGCAGAACTTACTAGATTTAGTGTAAACGTATTAAATATGAACTTCGAGTTTGGAAGCCCCAAGAACTTCCAGATTAAGAGCTTGTGTGAGCTCAAGTTTTCGAGGAGCCATTTGACTGTACCGTTTTGAAAATGAGTGTGTCTGCCCGATCTTTCTGCTTCGATGTGTATTTGGAATGCCTGCACTGAGAGCTGTCTGTCTGGATTGCAGATCTGGGACATCGGCGGGCAGCCCCGGTTCCGGAGCATGTGGGAGCGGTACTGCAGGGGGGTCAACGCCATCGTGTAAGCGCTGCCCTTAACAAGTCGACCTAGGTTTCAAGGAAAAGTGTTACCTTTCAATACTTTCAAAGTCTCATTTTTTATTTTAGGCCGTAACAGTCTTTCTTAGATGTTTGCTTATTGTACTCCATTAACATAAGACTTTAAAATTTTTAATTATAGAATGACAGTTTTCTTTATATTTTTTGTTTATACGGCTCTGGGCTGAGGGACATAAATGTGCTACTGTCATGTATTAACTCCAAAGAACAGTGTTGAAAAGTTTGGGGTGCTGAACTTTTCTTGATCCAGGACTTTAATTTGATTAACAGTTTCAGTAGTATAAATCTTAAGAAAATTAAAAATCTGTAATATTAATTGTGATCATCAAAATATGGAGAAGGCGTATTCAGGTCACTTTATTTTTATTTTAAAGTTACATGATAGATGCTGCAGATCGCGAAAAGATAGAAGCCTCGCGAAATGAACTACATAATCTTCTAGATAAACCACAGTTACAAGGAATTCCAGTAAGTATGGAATATTTGTTATTTTACATAATATGTAACTACATATTATATGTCTGTGATTGTCATTACATTATTAAAATTATATGGTTGGTTAGTTACGTGTGTTATCGGTAAGGCGTCACCTGTTTTAAAGTCTGGAAGGCTTCCGTTTACTGAGCGTCTGCCGCGTGCCGGGCACTGTGCTGTTTCTTCATCTTCTGACCAGCTCCTCGTTCAGCTGTGGCGGCGGCGGCGGCGGCGGCGGCGCTCAGGCCTGGAGGCAGCGGTGAACAGAGGTGCCTAGACACGCGCCCAGCGCTCACGGAGCTAGTGGTTTAGTGGGAAAGGCAGATCCGTGAACTCGCTCGAATAATACAGCTGTGATAAGTGCTGTGAAGCGCAAGGCACGCGGGCCGTGAGAGCCGTGCGTGAGAGGGCAGGCGTGGCCTGGCGTGAGGCGGGAAGGGCTCCCCAAGGAGGGGACGCGAGCTCCGATGCGAGCATGTGCGAGCGCGTGACAGTGAGAGACGCTTGGGGAAGAGTTCAGACAAAGGGCCTCAGGTGGGAGGCAGCAGGGCGCGGGAGGCCAGTGTCTGGAGCACAGAGCACAGTCCGGGGCGTGGGCAGAGTGTGGCGAGCCATGTGGCAGCCAGGACACTAAAGGAGGCTGCGCTGGGCTGGACTGTGTAGGAAGCCATTGCAGTATTTTAAACGATCAGATTTATTACTGAAATTTTTTTGATTTCCATTGAAGAATGGATCGAAGTGGCAGGAAGGACTGTGGGGAGGGTGGCATCAGGAAGCGGGTGAAGTGTCCCTGGCAGATCACAGTGCCGTGGTTACGGTGGCAGGAGACATGACGGTCAGAAGGACGCAGATTTTCGCGATATTTAGAAACACAGTCCATCAGACTTAGATGGGTTCAAAGGGAAGGAGTAGAGAGCGATCCCTCGTTCCTGATGCGATTAGCTGGAAGGTGGTGCCATTCGTTGAGCTAAGGAATGCTGGGAAAGGACCAGGCTCCGGCCTCGTGACAAGCTCATGGGTGTCTGACACTTGAGGTATAGTATCTCAGTTAATCCTCACATGTTGAAGTCGGTGGCATTATTCCTCCTCTGTAACGGTTGTTATTCACACAGGATCACATGGCCCTAGTATGTTGCACAACCGAGTTTGAATCCAAGTCGATCTGACTTTAAAGCCTCTTCTTTTTCTTCTACGTTAAAAACAAGTTCTCTATACTACGGCAAAGTCAGTTTTGCCTTGGTCACGGGAGGTTTCTTAGTTGCGAGCACTGGGAAGTTGGCGCCCTTCCCTGTCAGAATGGGTTCTCTCTCTGCTTCTTGCATCACTGGCTCTGCAGTCAGAGTTCGGGTTGACCCTAGATGCTGTGTCCACGCTCTAGCAGAAAAGAAAGCCGGGAGGGAAATTACCCGCAGAAGCAAGTAGCTTTATTGGGAGGCAGGTTCGTAGGTGGGAGATTTCTGAAACGTAGGAACGGGGCTAGGACGCCAGGCAGCCCCATGGGCAGCAGCTGCTGCAAACGACCACGACGTGTTAGAGACTCGGCAGGTTCAGCTCGAAGGATTAAATGAGTAAGGAGCGGGGTACGGGCGGGTGCGAGTTGGGGAAGGACGACGGGCGGACCGGCACACCGAGATTTGTTTCTTGGCTCTCGACTGCCCATGAGAGCTGCCAGTGCCCCCGGCGCTCTGCGTCTCTGTCCTCATCTCTTTGTCCTTTGTGTGAGCAAGAGTCTAGGGCCTGCGAGTCGACGCGGTTAGGGTCCAGAGGTGGGAGTGGGAGTGGGGGTATTAGGTGAAAGAAAAAGGTCTGACGAGGAGTCACGGCGTGTACTTTGTTAGCGTGGGCCAGAGCTGCTGGTTTTTAGAAGACGCTGACTTAGGACGTGGATGTTACCAAGTATGTTATCTGTGCTCACATTCTGTGCTTTCTGGAGGGCAGAGAGGCGAGAAGCCCATCATCTCTGCTTTCCTCTTTCAAAGCACATGTAGCGGTCAGATGACATTTATTCTGAGAGTTGGTAGCTACTGTATTCATCTGATCCCCAGACTTATCCATTGACTTAGAGTATTCATTCATGATATTCTGTAGGGTGGAGCCAGAATTTTAAAAGCTTATTTACATGTTCACATGATTGACGGCTCACAGATTTAAAAATGGCTAAAAACCATTCCTCTACCCTGGGTTAAGGTCATACTCGCATTTTGGTAAAGATTTATTAAGAAATAGCAGAATGCACACCCCATAGACTAAGATATTTGAAATAGAAGTTGGCAGCCACGTACTGAATGAAGGACCTGTGCATGTGGAAGTTAAAGCGAACGCTAATTCGAACGATTAAGTGAGTGAGATAGGCCACCAGTTCCACAAACTCGCCTTACCGTCCTGGCACGTCAGCGTCTGCAGATGTGAATGTGATATGCTTCTGTGGCATTTCTGATGTTAAGGTGGCTCTTAATATCTCTTCTTTGTTAAAGGTGCTGGTCCTTGGAAACAAGAGAGATCTTCCTAACGCCTTGGATGAGAAACAGCTAATTGAAAAAATGTATGTCTTAGAATGAATGATGGCTTTTTTTTTTTAAATTTGGTTCTAAATTATACTTTTTTGCCCATGACTTTCTTAGCATTGTTGCATTATTCAGCGATGGTCGTAGCCATGTTTTTAGGTACATAAACTTGGCCTACCGGAGAAATGAATCGCTAAATTTTTAGTAGTAATAAAATAATTTCTTCCATTTAGTAATTAAAAAAAAAGTAAATTGAGCAAAGAGTGATAAGTATGACAGCTGTTTTAAGCACAGACTTATTCTCTTAATTTTGCTTCCTATAGGAATCTGTCTGCTATTCAGGATAGAGAAATTTGCTGCTATTCAATTTCTTGCAAAGAAAAGGATAATATAGGTAAGAAGTAACGTGTTTTTGGAAGAAATGGGTACCATTGGAAGGGGTGTCTGATGAGTCTTACTGTTTATTATCCCCATGGCTGTTTAAGAGGCTTCTTTATAGAGTACTGTTTTGCCTCAGGAAAAAGGGTAGACGTTATAGCTTTTGACAACAAATAAAACGTCCTGCATCTGTTCTGTGCATTTAAAGAAATAGATGCAATAAAGGCATGAAGTGGTGAAGCATCTGGGATATCAATTTATTGTATTAATTAGAGCTAAGTATCCAGTTGTGCTTTATAACAAAATGATGTTTGAAATAAGACGTTACAAAAATTGGTGCTTGGGCACTGTGACACTGTTTCTTTATTGAACCAGTGGATTAACGCAGTGTGTTAGCACTCCACTGGTGGTATGAGCCCAAGGTGCCCTCCGTCTGCTTAGGGCCTGCCGTGGCACGGCGCCACAGGCCGGGGGCTCGACACGGCAGAAATGTGTTCCTTAACGTTCAGGAGGCGGCGGCAGGGCCCTGCTCTCTCTGACGGCTCTAGGGGAGGACCCTTCCTTGCCTTTCGGAGCTGTGGGCGTCTCCGCAATCTCGGACGTTCTGGGCTTGTCGCCGTGTCACTCCAGTTTCCGCCTCCAGCTTCATGTGGCCTTCTCCTCTGTCTGTGTTTCTGTGTGGCTGTTCTCTCTTCTCATAAGGACACACGTCATTGGGTTAGGACCCACCATAATCTGATATGACCTCATTTTAACTAATCACATCTGCAAAGACCCTATTTCCAAATAAATTCTCAGGTTCCAGGTGGATGTGAATTTTTAGGGGACATCGTTCAATCTGGCATCCACAAAGAATAAGTATGTATGACTCATGTCTAGTCTCTTAGCTAAAATTAGGTGAGGGACTATTTAATAAACAAAGTGTATCAAAATAAAATGTAACAGATAGTGCCAAGATGGTGTATTTAAAAAGGTATTCTGATATTTTAGTCTTTATTTGATACATAGGCTCTCATCGTACTTAACTTTTTTCCCAAGTCAGTTCTAGTCTATGTCTCACCCGCTTCCCCACCCCACCCTCCACCCCCCAATATGTTCTGATGAGCTCAGGTGTTGATCGTTTTCTGGCTGGTTCTGGGCTCCCTTTAAAGACCACCCAAAGCAATCTGAGCCCAGTCCTTTGCTGATGGATCCAAGTCCTCTCTGTTAAATGGATAGAATTAGTGACTTTTTACATTGGAGCATTCAGTTAACTTGAAAACAGACTATTCAAGCATTTAAAGTGAATTTGTGTTTATTTTTTTAAAAATTCTTTCCTGTGTTGGGGGAAACTCTTGTTAAACTTTGAGGGGCGCCTCCCAGAGAATGTTGCTTTACACATACGTAGTTCTCGCTGCGGGGTTTTTATTCCAGGAGACAGTCGGTCGTGTCTGGAGACATTTTTGGTTGTCATGATGAGGAGGGTGATTTTGGCGTCCAGTGGTAGAGACCAGGGATGCTCCACACACCCTACACACCCCACAGCAGAGCTGTCCAGCCAGAATGTCAGTGGTGAGGTCGAGAAACCCTGTTTTTACTGACCGTAACTTGGTACATTGTGCTATTTTGTAAATCTAGTAGTCCATTATATTTTCTCTACAATTTCCTGAAACGAGGGGGCGGGGGGTGGGGAATGTCTTTGAAGGGAGAAAATGAATCCTTTGTTTTACCACCATGAAAAACTAGCCAGATGCTTTTCTGAAAAAGTCTCTTGAGCTATTTATCAGTGCAGGAAAGTCAGCGAGAACTTGTGTGCTGTTTGAGGCTGATGTTTGGAGGTCGCTGTCTAGCCCCGTGGTCCTCGGGTTTGTGCTGGTCGAGCTCCTGGTTCACTCAGTGTTGTCACGCCCAAGGAAACTGACCCACTTTTAACTAGACTCTCGGGGAGTACTTTTTCATCAGAATGCCTGTTTCTTTGGAGCTAGAAATACAGCTAACAGCCAGATAGATTAGACTGCTTGGGTGGTCAAGTCAGAACATCCTCCTTAGTTTCAGCTTTTATAACACAGTTTAGTATCAGATTTATCAGTTTACTAAATCGTTCCAAAAAGCATTTCAGCGCGCTGTGCGTGGGTTGTATGTTACACTTCCAGCTTCCTGGTGTGGTCCACGCGTAACGTGTCCTCAAACCACGTGGAGAACAGATTCCATCTGGGAAGATGATTTTTGTCAAGAGGGCTCATACCTGTGACCCTTTTTGTCATGGCAGACGGCTGTCTTATTTTTTCTCTGCCTTTTTATCTAATCTTAAGGATCCATCGGCCCAGTGTCCAAAAGATTTTTGGGGAGTCGGGGTTTCTGAAATACTCAGACCTGGTCCTGCCACTTCTCTGTTTGCCTTTTCCCCCTTCAGTTCAGACACGTGTGGCTTTGCTCTCGTACGCCACCGTCCTCCCCGTGAAGTGCAGACGGCCTGCTTCAGCACCGTCGTCTCCACGTCTGTGAGCAGGTCCTGTTGGGTCAGTCTCAGCTCCAGGCTGTTCCGTGAATATGAGCCTTAGAGTTTCCCTAACGCATCTGAGCTGGGAAACTGGGAGGTTGAATTTACGCTCATCTTTCAGGCTTGGAGAATAGGGTGACGCTTCTAATGGATGCTCACTTACACTCGGTGACCGACACCTTGTAAGGAACTCCAGGGCAGGAATTCAGTGTTCGACCTAGCTGACTTCTCAGTCCAGGGCTTTTCTTGGCTCATCTCAGCTCCTGTGGTTTCAGGTGGCCCTGTGTGATGGTGTCTTGCCAGCCTGTCTCTGACTCGGGTCCATGTGCTAAAGCCACCTGTTGGGCATCTCCATTACGATTACTTTCTGCACCTCGAACTCGATGTGCCTGGGGCCGAACTCTCAGTCTTTTCTTTCCAAGGCTGTGTCGGTCACCAGCTCCGCCCACGCTCTCATTCAGGCCCGAAGGTGGTTTCTCGCCCACTGCGTCTGTCGGTCACCAAGGCCCGTCAGTCCCACATCGTACTCATTCTTCTCGCTTTGCTCCTCTCCATCTCCACAGCACTTGGCTCGCCTCAGGCCGTCGTCACTTTCCTCGTCCCATTGCGATAGTCACTATGTCGGCAGTGTTCCAAGGTGTCCTCTCCTGTTGCCATTGTCGATCTTACTAAAATAAACATAATTTTCCTGCCTAAAATTCGCCAATACCTTCTTATTGACTTGAGAATAAAGTCCAGATTTCTTAGCATCTTAGAATGACATCCAAGATCATCTGGCTCCCTCTAGCCCTGTGATTCTCGAGCAAGGAGGATTTTGGCCCCCGGGCCCTTTGGCGATGGATGTCTGGAGACGACATTGGTTTTCATAACTGAGACAGGGCAGTGGTGATAACGGCATCTAGTGGTAAAGGTTGCGAATGTTGAAAAACGTTCTGCCATACCTAGGGAGGGGCCTCCCCTCTGTCCAGCGAAGAATTAACCTGCCCAAAATGTCAGGGGCGAGGCTGGGCAACCCTGCCTTAGCCTTGGCAATGAGTGGCACCCCGGCCCCATCCTCTGCTTCAGCCGCCTCTTACCACTTGCGGTCCATCCAGGGCTCCACAGTTTCTTTTGCCTCGAGTTCCATGGGGCGGCCCCCCACCCCCAGTGGTGACTTACATGTTTTCTGGCTGTGACACTCCAAGCTCCTTGAGGGCAGAGGCGGGGTCGCCCGTATCTCTGTTCTCGGCGCTTCACATACAATACCTGACCTTGCAGGCAGTCGGTAAGTTTGGGGTGAATGAAGGACGGCACGGACGGCACGTTTCTTACAGTCTCTCGTCAGTCCTCACATTGTCCTCTTGAGGCTCAGGTGATGGGAAGCGGCAGTATAGATGCCGAAAAGCAGACGAGGGGGGGCCCGGCACGCGCTTTGAATTAGCTGCATTTTAAATATGATCTCCGTTGTTTAGTTTAACTTCGGTATCTTAACACCTTTTTTCCCTCCATCTTTAGATATCACACTTCAGTGGCTTATTCAACATTCAAAATCTAGAAGAAGCTGAAAAGCGCCTCCTGAAGTCTTCAGTCCTTCCTGGCTACGACCCTAGAATTATTGTCCGTTCCTCTGAAGCACCTCCCAAAATACGGTCCCTCCTAAACCCAAGAAATGGCCTTTTTCAGAGTTTATTTCTCATGTGCACTGCTGAAGATGTGTATCCCTAATCCTTCATAAAGAATCAGCTAGAGTTGTCATAATAAAGTCAGCACACACAAAAAGGCTTCTCATACACACTCGTCTCACACGGTGTGTAGAGCTGTTTTTAAAAAAACACACACTTTTGACCATCTTATATCAAGAAAATTGCATATTTCTGTTCTGGTCTTTCTGGGCCAGGTTTTTATATTGGTTTTCGGTAAATGTCTACCTATGATATTTCATTATAGAGTCCAGTAGCTTAATACTGATACTGACGATACAGCATGGAGTGTCTAGTGCCACACAGTATTTAGAAAAACTTTAGCCTGACTCATGTGGGATATAAACATAATGTTTACGCATCCCGCAAATGCATGTGAAATGTATAACTACACCTTAGGAATTCAAAAAAAAAAATGGTCTGCAGAGAGTGAGCAGAGGCAGCAGATCTGGTTCTTTACACTGGCGACATCTCACATGATGAGTTTCAAAAACATTCTGCTTTCTGAGAATTCTTCCCCAGATAGCAGTTGGGGGCATGGGAGGAACTAAGGCATGCTGTTTTGTATCTGTCCTGATCATTACTTAATTACTTCTATATTTCTTCTTCTTCTACTTCTTCTTCTTCTTCTTTTTTTTTTTTTTGCTGGTTCAACACACTTTTTTAAGGGGTTGGGAATTAAAGATTTTCTCAAAAGCTTTCATGAATTTAGAGCATTCCAGCCGATATAATAAAACCGTGTTAAGAATGTCGGACTTCGTTCAAACATCTGTTCGTTCTTTCTGTGCCCAGCCGTTAGCAACTCCTGACTTTTTATATCCAGTCTTGAAGTTGACTTTCAGCACAAGAGAGATTTACAAACGAAAATGCTTATTCTTCTCTCTTACTGACGTAAGGTTTGGCGCTCTTTCGCCTGGTGCCAGTAGACCTTGATTATTGTGACAACTCTGGACCTGCCTGCTTTACCTAATGTGGTCGTGCGGCCCGTCCACGGGTTGTGCAGTGATGGCACACAGAGCTGAGTCGCGGCTGCTCGTTGCTGGCCTCTGCGATACGGAGATGTGTAAGCTTAACATGAACATGTTGTGTAGCGTAGTGATCTCTGTATCCACGAAGGGACATATTTCTACCGCTTCTCCCGTAAACTGTTCACATAGGCCACCGGAGCAGATGACACGCGATGGTACACCTGCTCGGTGCTGCCTCACACCGTGTGTGATCTCGTTTCTTTTGTCAAGCAGCACCCAGGCGGACGGCGCATCCCCAAACGCGTGAGCCCTCAGCGCAGTCGGCAGCGAGCTCTGTGGACAGGGACACTTTTAGTGTATAGACTCCCACGGCCTTAACGATGCCTGTACAAAACACTGCGCTGTGTTGCACAGACACTGCTTGTGTTTCTCTGGTCACATTTTTATGAGTAGAATGTCGGCATTTAAAATTCTGTTCTTCGAAGCATGTTGCATATTCCAGGTGGGATGGATGGTTCTGTCAATGAAGGGATATTTGAACTTGCTGCTGCAGTTCGACACCATTAGTGGTCGCTGTGAACCATCACCAAGAAAGTGGCGATTTGCTTGTGCCTAAGAAGGAGGAATCGGAACTAGAACGTGTGACTACGTGGGGACCACGCGGGTCCGCGAACGACCTGTAGCTAAACCTTAATGCTCGTGTGTCTGCTCATCGCTTTCAGCATTTTAAGACCCAGACACTACTGACGCTTTCCTGTGCGTTAACCTCTGCATGTGAAAACTTAACAGTTACCGAACTTTGTAAATACGTGAATTTTTTTATTTAGGTGGATGCGTTTTTCGTCTGTTTACTGCTCTTCTCAGCTTTATTCAATAAACTTGCATTTTGAGGGTTGTATTGACAATTTTAACTGAAAACGTGCATCGTGATGGAAGCTGCTGACTTTTTTGGAAGGGGGTGGAAAGAAAGTTACCGTGACCAGGGTCCATTGACCATGTACGAGAAAGAAATCAGCTCAGCTCTCAACGAATTGGGTCTGTGGGCTAGTTAAAACAAATAAACTTTTAAAATAGCCACATGATTGATATTGCGATGTGGTTTTTTTTTGGTTTTTTTTTTTGTTTTTGGTTTTTATAATGGCTGGAAGAAACGCTGCTATTTGTACACTGTCTTATACACCAAATTTAGGACTTTTAAAAGTGGCAAGAGCTAGTTACGCATTTTGTAATCCAGTTTTAAAAATCATAACAAAACTCTCCTCATAAACTGAAATCGCAATGCTTGCTGCTTCAGTTCCAGAATGGAAAGATTTAAAATACTGAACATGGTGGTTTTCCCACAAAGGCACATTTTTAAAGTAAAGCATTTGGCCTGGTTTGCTAGTACGTTGTCTTTTGCACTATAAAAGTGAATATTTATCTCTTCGAAGCTACTGGAGAAAGGGTTTTATGTATTTTTACTCAGAGAAGTTCAACTCGGCCTTTCCTCTGTAACTCTCCTGTCGCTCTGAACAGCCGAACCTTGATGGCCAATTGGATGTGTCATTTAGCACCTCTGGGACAGGAGTCCTTAAGACAGCAGGTTTGAATTTTCTTGTTGGATGTTGGAGCCGTTTAGTCAAGCAGTCGGTTTGGTCCTGTTCTCACCAGCCTCATGTCCGAGGATTTTTGAAGTAAGTGTGGGGAGGGAGGGAGATGTAAATTTAGCTTGCTTTACCCTTGATCCTAAGTTTATGTCAGTTTCCAAAAAAAGTTGAGACTTCTAAAATGAGACCCTCCGATTCTGTCAAGTAGATGGATTGTGTTGGACCAGGGCAGCTTTGGCGTTCATTGTTTTGACTGCGGAACTAGTTGTTTTGTGTGTTCTATCCATGTAGGTTTCACAGTTACACCAAAATCTCCTTTGATTTGGTAATTCCAGCCTCTCAGGGTCTGACAGGCTGAGACTGGAGTGGGAGTTGAAATTTACTGGAACCAGTGCCATACCCATCACATCCAGTTGGCCAAGTGATTTACTCTTGAAATTTGCCATTGTGGGGAAGCCACCATCTTTAGTACTTGAAACGTTTTCACTTTGTTACAAACTTTAAAGGTGGTGCCCTCAACAACAGGGATGTCAGTGAAGATACTTGAAAAAAAGGAAAAGCAAACACTCGCCTGGCCAACTTCCCTTAAATCTGCAGTTCTGCAAACGGGCAGCCCACTGCAGGTGTTTCCTGTTGATTGGTAAACATCCCCCACACAATTTCTGTTTAAAATTCAGCTCTGAATGAAAGTGGGTACTTTTGTAATGGCCGCCTCTTGGGTGTTTGGAGGTCAGTGACATGCTAGATGGACTGCGATGGGAAGGACAGCGACAGCCTAGCCATTATTCCATCCCATTCGTGTGCCCTCTCTTCAGGAAGTTAATTCTATTTTT